TATTCCACATCTATACAAAATGAGACAAATGGCCGAGATCTATCACAGAGTCATCTCTAGGTCCTAAGGGAATTGTCTAGATTCAAGAATCCTTAGGACAGATACAGGCATCCCAAAATTTTTAAATCTATTTAATTCTGTCCCATACATTCTGGAGATATGATGATCATTTCAGTAATGTTAAGGGTTGAAGTTAATGACAAAATCTTAATTTTAAAAACAAAAGACAAGTTTCAAGCAGTGATTGCTAGACCTCTAAACTTGGCTGCAGATAGTATTTCTGCCCTCATATCTAAATTTTGTATGGCTGCCAGACATGGTGTTGCACTCCTGTAATCCCAGCAGCTCGGAAGGCAGGAGGATCACAAATTCAAAGCCAGCCTCGGCAAGTCTCTAAGCTTGGTGAAACCCTGTCTCAAAATAAAAAAAAACATAAAAGGGATAGTAATATGGATCAGTGGTTCAGGACTCCTGAGTTTAATCCCTAGTTCTAAACAAATAAATGAATAAATTTCATACGGCAAAGCAGAACCAACATCTATGCAGTTGTGTCTATTCTCAAGGTCCTTATGTTTTTGTAATAAACAAGATGAATACATCGATATTTGCAGTTTGATTTTAATAAAAATGCACCCTTTCTTTTAAAAATCATGTTGTTCCCTGCTTTAGAAAACAAGACCTAAGAAAATGGTAAATAGGCACTTTATGTAACTGCAGAAAATGGAGATAAAAGAAATCGCCTGACATTTACTCTTCTATTTACTGAGTTGCCTTCATAATCTTTTGAAGTGTGAACATAGCTGATAGCTCAGAGCTATGTACCTAGTATAATATTATGTTACAATATAATATAGAGGTGGTAATGTTATCATTATGTTTGAAATGACACTTTTAGGAGCTTGTACTGGTAAAAATATACACTTCGGGGACTAAAAGAAATTTATATTATGTCACTAAAATCAAGAAAATATGAAGTGTATAAAACTTAGGTGATAATCAACTGGTTATTTACAGGAGTAGAAAAGATCATTTTTCAGAATATCATAAAGTAGCATGCTAATTTGATTCTGATTAAATGTAACAGTTACTCATGACTTTGTACCTTCATTTTGGAAAAAAAAAGTTGTGATTTATGTAAGCGTAAAATTTGTTGTTGTTGCTTGAAAGTAATATCAAAATATAGTGTGGCCTAGAAACTGAAAGAAACTTTCAAGGAGTTAAACCAGTTGATATCAACTTAGGCCTAATTTCTATTGAATAAATTCAGAGTATTTTCAGAAACTACTCAGAATTAAGAGACCACATAGATTTTTAGCTAAAACCTATCAGATATTTATAATATTCTTAAAACAATGTTAAATACTTTGAATCATCAGTTCCCTCTTGATTACTGTTTCTCAAACGTACTTGACCCAGCATAAAAAATAAACTTATATTAGGATCCAGATATTCATATACACACATGTAAAATCACACAACTAACAAGCTAAAGATTTATAGCAGAATACAGATAGTACTTGAAATATGTCAATATGTCTATTCTGTTTATTTCATTTCGTTTATGTACCAGAGACTTGTGATTTGAAAAATATAACAGTTCCTGTAAGAGAATTATAAATTTGGAAACTCACACTAAAGGACTGCTGATATTTGAGAACAAAGGGTTAAATGTTTACATTATAGATTTTTATTTAAAAAAGAACTGTTTCATTAGTATGAGACAAGCATCAATTCTTTACAAGATTTATGAGAGCAAACAAACACTCATGAAATATGTAGAAACAAAGTAATTGATCAAATATTCTTCCCTTAGGTACCAGAAAAAGTCAAAACTGGTCAAATTACAGCAAATGTTTAGGTCATCCCCACTCATAAGTAACATTTTTTTTATATTGATCCACTTCTACAATTTTTCTGCATTTTTGGTAGACATTTCTTTCTTTGAATGTTTGAATTTATAAACTTGAAATAAAACTTACTGATGTTGTGGTTAAATTAGTTAATTACGCTTACTGGCAAATGGTTGGCTTCATCTAACTTGTTGATTTTTCTCAACTGGAAGAACATAGAACCCCAGCCCAGGATCACAAATATTTAGTAGTTTACTCTAGCATCTTTTGTAAACCTTCTAAATCTCAATTTCCTCATTTAAAACATGGACTAATGATTAAACAGAATTATGAGAGCAAAGAATGTAGCATAATTATTAGCAAGTATGTAAATGATAGTAAATATTATTATTGTTAAAAAAAGTTTCAGCTGAACTTTGGTGATTTCATTAAACCACTTTTTAAAAAAATAAACAATTTTAGCCCCTAGATTTCATCTGAATTTCTGTTTTTATTATCTCAGATATGGAATATAAGTAAACACTATTGGTATGTCACCTTTTATGATCCAGTCTTCTGTACCTCTAATAGCCATTTTTTTAAGGAAGGAGAAATAAAAAATTTGAATGGTGAGGATAAGTCCTTAAGTTAGAACACACACATGCTGAGAACACACTTATCTACTGTTGTGATAATATGTATCTGTCATTCTTCTAATTCTAACATATTAATGTTAAATAAATGTCACATTTAAATTTTATTTATTCTTTGGGTTGGCAGATTCTAGTCCCATATGCTTTTTTCCCCTTCTTTTTCACTATTGCATATTAGGAAGAGCTGTTCTAATATGCAAAACTGACATCTTGTACTTTTTGTATTCAAAAGATCATATGATTCAAAAGATCACATTTTTATATCAGAATAGGTAATGCTTTAATGAAATATTAACTTATACATTTACTTTTTTTATAAATCTATTGATTAAATTTATTCTAAAAATACTAAACAAATTACCAACATTTGTGGATTAAGTGGATATTTGCTTTTGTGGGACCATTTGGAATGTGACTTGGGTGGGGCCATTTCTGGGTTTACTTAGGTGGACTTTTAAGTCATATACATACACTACTGGAAGTCTAGAAATTGATGTAATATAACATTGGATAACCACTCTTGAAAAATTCCAAATTTTTTCCAATATTTATATATGTATATTTTTATATTTAATTTAATTGTATATTTTAAATTTATTTGTGAACATTTCAAAAGTACACAAAATGATATAAAATAATTGGTTTAAATATTTTAAAACTTACCAAAGTCTTTTTTTGCCATGTTTCATTTTGTTCTAGTAGAATTCAATTGATTTACTTAAAAGGAAAAGACTGAAACATTTAAAAAGCTTTGGGAGAAAAAATAATTATCTTAAAAAACTGTATTTGAAACAGTGTCCATAAGTCCCCAACATGCAGAAATAATTTTCCCTTTAAAATATTTCTCATTGGCACACTGCATTTCATAGGGAAAAATTCACATTTGTTTATATATCTGGAATCTGCAAATTAAAATATTTAAAATGTATGGTAGAAATTTTGAAATTTCATATAGTGAACTTCTGAGAATATTTTAAAATATTGTCTCAAAAATCTAAGGTAAAGGGCTGGGATCGTAGCTCAGTAGTAGAGAGCTTGCCTCTCTCATGTAAGGCAATGAGGTTTGACCCTCAGCACCACATAAAAGTAAATAAACAAAATAAAGATATTGCATCCATATAAACTAAAAAAAAAAATAGAAAATCTAAGGTAAAAAACACAATCATTTCAACTTACTGTTGATTTTTTTAAAAAATTAAATTACTAACAAAGAAAACTTCATTTTAGAACACAACTTTTGAAAAAGCAATATTTTATCATTTTATTTAATAGTCATAAATTTTTAACAGTCATGAATCACTCAGCTCAATAAATTAAAAAATAAAATATGGAAACCAAAAACTTTGCTCTTTACCATGGAATACATGACTCACAGCAAAACGTGTAAATTTGATACTCTGTGACATGGTATATCATAGACATACCTCTGCAATGTATATGTCAAAAACTAATAGCATGAACTATTTGGGATATTTTTCTAGGGATATTAGTTTGGCAAATTTGAAAATGAAAAAAAAAATTAAGCACTCTACCACAGTTTTGAGGCCTTAAAGAAAATTTGTTTAGAAAGAAATTCATTAAATTCACTTTCATACATACAAAGAAAAGAATCTAATAGTAATGGGCTGTTATATCTACATGTGATGAAGCAGTTTGGGAAAGTTTTTTGTTTTTGCTTTCTACATTATTTTTCCTTTGAACTAAGGGGCACACATATGTTTGATTTTTGAATGAAAATTAACAATGGAAAATTCAGTTCTAAATTTGATCATTGGATTAAGGCTAATTAAGAATGTGCTTTGAGAAAAATCAAGCTTTTTCTTCTGGTCTTGGCTTCTTATCCTTGGTTTCATTAAAGAGATCTAAAGATGCTAATGTTTCCTTTTTTGTTCTTTCTCCTGTATTGCCTCTTTCACTTTGCCTTTAGGAATGGATAGGGTCAATCCTATCTATATTTGGACATTATACCACATGGGTCTCTGTGAGGCTAGATAGAGAATATATTATTAAAGGGAAAAAATGTATCTGCTAAAAATGTAAGACACAAATTATTCCCTTAGCTTGGCACTAACGAGACTTAAGCAGATTCTTTAAAAGCTGTTCTGCTCCAAGCCCCAAGTACTTACTTGTCTAATCCTATATATCTATAGGATATAAACATTATATATCTATAATGTTTACTGGTCCTGAGGAAGCAATTTTTATGGTAATTAACATTTTAAACTAATGCTTACTTTCTAATCATTTTCTATTTTGAGAGAACCAGTTGAAAAGTGATCTTAATATGTGTTCTTATATACTTCTGAATATTTTGGTTCTGCACTCTGGAGAACATGGAAAAATCTACTCTATTCTAAGTAATAAATTCTAGACTATAAACATCATGCTACTAATATTTTAGCATATTAGCAGACTAATATTATCTTTGAATATATATTTATTAAATACAAGCATATATGTAAACATAAATACTTATATTCCTATTTTTCTTGGTTATTATTTTTATCCTCTTTTTCAGATAATGCTTAGAGGATTCTGCAGCAATTCTTGGTATTGGACATATTCAAAATCCCTTCAACTTTTGCTCTCCTGCTTCACTGCCTTCCAGCTTTAACTCATTTTTGATCCCTTCAAATATTTTACATGATTTGCAATGGTTACATGAACTTTTGGGAAGTGGTATTTGCACCATCTCATACCTTATTTACTATGGCAATTTAAGGAAAAAAGTTGGAAAAAGTTTCCAAAGCATTATTTTAAAAAATGAATCTCATTGTGAAGCTTCGGAGAAGTTTTCGAACACTGATTGTTCTCTTAGCTACCTTCTGCTTGGTGAGCATTGTCATTTCTGCCTATTTCCTCTACTCTGGCTACAAGCAGGAAATGGCCCTTATTGAAACCACTGCAGAAGCAGAATGTGCTGACATCAAAATTCTACCTTATCGGTCAATGGAGTTGAAAACAGTGAAACCTATCGATACATCCAAAACTGACCCTACCATCCTCCTCTTTGTGGAGAGCCAGTACTCTCAACTCGGTCAAGATATCATAGCTATCTTGGAGTCCAGCCGATTTCAGTACCACATGGTCATTGCCCCTGGCAAGGGAGATATACCTCCCCTTACAGACAGTGGCAAAGGGAAGTACACATTAGTTATTTATGAAAATATCCTGAAGTATGTTAGCATGGACTCATGGAATCGAGAGCTTTTAGAAAAATACTGTGTGGAATACAGTGTTAGTATAATTGGTTTTCATAAAGCCAATGAGAACATCTTGCCAAGTACACAATTGAAAGGCTTTCCACTAAACCTCTTCAATAATCTAGCTCTGAAGGACTGTTTTGTCAATCCTCAATCTCCTTTGCTGCATATTACCAAAGCCCCCAAGGTTGAGAAAGGTCCTCTTCCTGGGGAAGACTGGACTGTTTTCCAATATAATCATTCAACCTACCAGCCTGTCCTTTTAACTGAATTACAGACAGAAAAATCCCCATCACCCTTGTCCAGCAAAGTACTCTATGCGACTGTAATTCAGGACCTAGGTCTTCATGATGGGATTCAGCGAGTTCTTTTTGGCAACAACTTGAACTTTTGGTTACACAAGCTCATCTTCATAGATGCCATCTCCTTCTTGTCAGGGAAGAGACTGACATTGTCCTTGGATAGGTACATCCTTGTGGACATTGATGACATCTTTGTTGGGAAGGAGGGAACAAGGATGAATGTCAAAGATGTAAAGGTAAGAACATTTATAAATCACATCATAATTTATTCACTAACTTTGTGCTATTGATAAAATATAATTTTGAATATTGTAGACTCCTAATCACTGAAATTTTAAGGTATTTTTTAAGTAAAACAGGCACTTAAAAAAAATGAACTAAGCCTTAAGCATTACACACACACACACACCCTAGAGAGAGAGAGAGAGAGAGAGAGAGACAGAGGGGGGGGGGGATGCACACACATGAAATATATGCAAGCTCCAGACTAGAAGCTTCATGATGAAACCCAAATAAATATCGCAAAATGTAACTGATTTCACTCTTCTTGCCTCTGGTTATGCTTTGCCTATTCCAGCTAAAACCACTCAGAACAGACTCCATTATTTTGCCATGTGTGGCAGTTTATAGCAATGAGACTGATATAGTTGTAGAATTCTGTTTCTGAACTGATCACCCTATGTAGGCATAGGGTTTGATCATGATGGTTGAAGTACAAAAAGTGACAACAATCCAAGACTTTTCTCTAACCTCAAGAAAGCCTAGCATTTGCTAGTATAAAACATCCAGGCACTTGAAAACATAGATAAAAAGAAGATAGTTTTAGAAGGTCTTGGCCTCAGGAAACTCCCATTATTCTCTCTATTAATTTATCCCATTATTTTGTGCAATCCAGTAGTGTTACTGGCAGCTCATCTAGGTTATGATCAATTGACTGCATAACAGATCCATCCTATAGTTGCTATTAGATAAAGAAAAAGCTAACTATGGAACTGGGCATCATGGTGTAATGTCCATAGTCTTAGTTACTTGAGAAACTAAGGTAGGAAGATGGCTTGAGTTTATGACTTTAAGAACTTCCTTGGACAACATAATGAGACACTGCTTAAAACAAAAAATCTCTCTTTTTTAAAATCCCATTTCAGCATTCTTATATGCTTTCTCACCTGGTCTATCTTGTGCTATGCCCAGCTAAACTGATTCTGTAAAGAATTTAGCAAACATAAACAAAAATAAGGGAACACAAATTAGAATTGTAAAAGAACCAAAAATTGTTAAGATTTTATCTCTTTTGATTTTTTGTTATTATTATCTTCCAAAGATTAAATCTGGATACTATTTCAAAATAAATGCTTTTTCTTTCCCTCCTAAAACTTTACGACCACTATTAGACAACATGGTTAAAGCCAATAAAACAAATTCACACTTAAAAATTCTTCAAAGAACATACGGACCAGTGAAATGTTTTAAAAGTGCCACTGAATGAAGGGCTGCTTCACTTTGACCCAAAGGCTTCATTTAGGGACTGCTACAAAGGGTTAAATGACCACAGTTGAAATCTGGATTTTTCTTGTTCTTTTTTTTCTTTTCTTACTTTTTCTAATAATATAAATTTATTTGATATAAATATTAATGTTTTAGTCAGCTTTTTCACTGCTGAGACTTGGGGACCCAATCAAAACAATTGTAGAGGAGGAAAGGTTTATTTGAGTGCTTACAGTTTCAGAGGTCTCAATCTAGAGTCAGCAGACTCCATTCCTCTGGGTTCAGCTGCAGAGGGAAGCAGCTATTCATGATCAGGAAACAGAGAGAAAGAGATTTCTACTTGCCAGATAGGAGTATATACACCAGAGTCATACCTCAATTCCCATCTCCTTCAGCCACACCCTACCATTTGAATTACCTCTCAGTTAATCCCTATCAGGATTAAACCACTGATTGGGTTAAGACTCTTAGAACCCAATCATTTCACCTCTGAACCTTTTTGTATTGTCTCATTTGTGAGCTTTTGGGGGACATCTCAGATCCAAACCATAAGAACTAGTTTTATTTCCGTTTTGCAGTCATTTTGGAAGCCCGTGACCTCTTTGTCACGGGCTTCCAAAAGTTCCTTAAGTGTTTGATTCCTAACCTGAAACCCTTAAAGACAGGGTTTTCTAGTTTCGTCCAAGGAATAATGTGAATTAAAAAGCTTTTTATAATTCTAAGCAAAGTTGACAACTCAAATTTAGCTATGACACTTATTCTCAATAGAAAAACAAACAGCTATTCACCAGCACTAATAAACTAAATTGCATAACTCCACAGAAAATTTAAAAATAACAAAACTTAACAAAGGCTTGAGGATTTCGCATGCAGGGAGAGAATGAAAAGTTTGTATGGATGTATAGATATGCATTACTGTGTATATACACACAAGCACAGATGTACCTATGTGTTTAAATGCTACATAAAATAATCTTTAATGTATAAAACATAGGTTAATTTAACTGTCACCTTGAGAAAAATACTTTTCATCTTTTTTGTTTGTTCCTGGTTACTCTCAGAAATAATTTCTTTTTTCTTTTTCTTTTTTTGTGGTGCTGGAGATTGAATCCAGAGTTTTGTGTATGCAAGGCAAACATTCTACCAACTGAGCTATATATCCAGCTCCAGAAATGATTTTTAAATTTATTTTTATTCTTTATTTCACATTTAAAAATTACGTATGTTATTAGATACAACATGATGTTTAGATACATGTATATGTGTATAGCTCATGCATGTTAAATTTAGCTAATTAACATGTATTTCACAAACAATTTTTTTTTTTGGTAAGGAGACTTAAAATGACTCTATTAGTGATTTTTAATGGAATCACAGTGTATTTACCATGTTATACAACAGAACTCTTGAATTTGTCCTTTCTGTCTGAAATTTGTATCCTGTGATAAATATTTTCTTCACCTCCAGGCCCCTTATCTCCTGGTAACCACATTTCTACTCTCTATTTCCATGTACTCAACGATTTTTGATGCTTCATATAAATGTGATGCAACAGTTCTCTTTCTGTACATTGTTTACTTCACTTAACAAAATCCATGCTGTTGAAAATGACAGGACTTCCTTCTTTCTAGAAAATGAATAATATTCTATTGTGTGTATTTATATTATATTTTCTTTATTCATTAATTCATTGATAGATATTTAATTGGATGCCAGATTTAGGTAATTGTGAATACTGCTGCAATGAACAAGGAAGTGTAGTTATACCTTAATTCATTGATTTTTAGTTTGCTTTACATTAACTTAGAAATGTAATTCATGGAACATATAATAATTCTATTTTTAATTTTTAAGAACTTTCATGCTTTGTCCATGACTACTATCAAATTTGCATTCCTGCTGAATATATAGGAGCACTCCCTTTTCTCCACAGCTTCACCAAAACTTGTTACTGTTATTATTGTTAATAAATAACATTGTTAATTGTTAATAATAGTCATTCTAGCAAACATAAGGTAATAGATATCTCACTATCACTATTTTTTGTCATTTTCCTGATGATTAGTGCAAATCTTGACAAATTATTTCAGCTATTATTTTTAATAATTTTGTCTTTTAGCTTTCATAAATAAGTGATTCACATTCTACCATTACAATATTAGACAATTCTGAACTTGACTATGAGTAATCACCAATTTTTGTATTTGATTTTTATTTCGTTTTTATTGCTTGGATAAATATGATTTTTACTGGAAAGAATTTTAAATTATGTGTAGAAAAATTCTGTATGTCTCATGTTCTTCATTCTTAGGTTCCTTTTCTGACCATATGACATTTAGTCAAGTACTAGTAGATGAGGCTAAATCTAACCCCCTGGTATTCTACAGCCATTTTCTAGAGCAAGGGTTTTGCATATCTACTGATATATTTTCATGTTATTTTGAAATAGAGGACAGAGATATTCTGTTCCTTAATAACAATTGAGGGAAATAGAAGTATTATTAATGATGATTCTTGATATTTGGACTACACTTGGAGCACATCCAATTTGACTAGAATGAGGGAGCATTTAACAATAAATATAGACATAGTCCTGTCTCCACAGTACCACTTAACACTGACAAAACACAAATATACATACACTCACATCAGCACATTTCCATTTGAGCCCAATTCCTACATTGAGATGAAATTATGGATCATACAATTAATGAGTAAACATTCTTAAAATACAGCATTTTGATATTGTGAACAGTGCATGAGTTTTCTTAACTGAACTTGAAAACCCCATTTTTTTCTAATATGCAGTTCTGCCTTACTTAACCAACTATATATGCCCCTACTTTCTTCGTAGAACCTTTCATGCTTTATCTCATTTCATCATGCCTCTCCCAACCAAAGCCACTGAGATAGAAATTAATGTATCCTTTTATAAATCAAGCAAAATTAAGCTCAGTTTCCATAACTATCATCTGATTGTAACAAAAATTCATTGTGTACATAAAAATTCAACATATGAGAGAGAGTATTCATGTATGTAACCATTCAGAATCTAATTGTATCTTAAAAGATAGTAAAATACTAGCTATCAATGATCAGGACTCTGGTCATATTTTTTGACCCGGTAATATATCTGTATGTTCTGCAAGGCAATTACAAAGTACCTCCTGTACATTTGAAGCCCATATCTTCGCAAGATAATCTTAGGCTATCGAAAGTGATGTCTACACACTTGTATTTATTCTTTTCTGATTTGAAAATATCTCCTATTTTCTTAATGGACATAACTGCATGCATATAATGTTCATTTTAAAAGCAATGCCAGTTAGTTGAGCACAATGCATTCTTAGGGAAAGTAACATAAAAAAGGCCTATCCTGATTATTAAAAGAAAGAAAGAGAGAGAGAGAGAGAGAGAGAGAGA